ACACACACACACACACAGACAGACAGACAGACACACACATCCTCTCCATCACCGGTGACCCTCTCCTCTTACCTGTGGTGGACAACACGGTGCTGGCGAAGAACAGCGCGGAGGTGAAGTCCCAGTTCCAGTTGTCCGAGGCGTTGTTGAGGATGGAGACCCCGTAATTGCTGGCGTCCAGGGCTTTCTGCAGGAAGCGCTCCAGACGCTCCTCGGTGAGGCAGTCGTTCTCCCGGAGGAACTGCTTCTTCAGGGCGCGCAGCTCCTGCCGCAGCAGGTCCTCGTAGGGCAGCTCCACCGACGAGAAGACGACGGCGCCGAACACCAGGTAGAGCACATAGCCGAGCACCAGGGACGCGAAGTACCACGTCGATTTGTGGCTCTGGATCAGACGCACGCAGGAATTGCTGGTTAAAGACTGAAGCATTTTCCTCCCAGTAGGTCTGTCGCCCCTCTGCGTCCCGGGTTCGAGTGAATGTGAGGAGAGAATCGGGGGATTAGTTTGGTTTCAGCAGCGGGGGAGAGATGTTGTGGGAGACAAAGATCCTCTGAGGACTCTCCACCCTCCGCGCAACCTGCTGTGGCTCCCGACGCGTTCAGGTGCAGTCGGATAAACCACCGTTTGGGGACAAAAAAAGAGTGCAGCATTAGCATATTCTCGCCAAGTCGGTTTACACATACACGGGATTTGCTGTGGTGTGTTGTGTGCAAGCATAAATATAAAATATATTTATTAAAAGGGATAGACTGTTATACAAAAACATTCTAAACACGAGACAAATGCATACATTAACCTTTAACCCTGTCACTAAGCACTATTACTGCCTGTTTCTTTATTTGTTTTCACTTTCAAAATACAAAGTTATGGTACAGCAGATCTATGTTAGTCTAATGCCCAACTTTGTACAGCTTTAGTTATCTATCTTAAAATCAGTATTTATATTTGGCTTCAGTAGTCTGTCTTGGTCCCCTTATACTTCAAATATTTGTGTTGTCAATATCTCCATTAGCACATACTTCTTAACAGAACTTTGAGTAGTTCTGGTGGCTAGACTCTCATTTCACTGCAGTGGACTTACTCTGGACTTATTTTGACCTTTTATTGACCGTATGCTCTTGTGTTGACTGTTTTGTGTAATCAGGATCAATAAAGTTTTTATCTGATAAAGTTATAAACACAAGAAAATGATTGTGTGGTTCCAACGATAAGATATTTGCAATCAACTTAAATTCAGTGTAACCGTTATTGGCCAGTAAGAGTCATGATAGTGTTATGACTGGAAAAAGCTGATTCTCCACTTGAAACACTGATATGTGTTGACTCATAAGAAATAAATATCTCATAAATGAATTCAAAGGAGTCACATCAACCATGCTTTGCATGTGCTACAGACTCCTCAACCAATCTGCTAAACGGGAGCATATTACTCAAATCTTTTCATCAGCTTCCAATAAATTTAAGAATTCATTTCAAGATTCTATTCCTAACTTTAAGTTGCACCTCATTACATTGCCCTGCTCGCCATTCCACAGCCCCGGCTGAGGGCCAACGTTGACAGGGCCTATTCTATTTTCTATTTCTATTTAGAACAATTTCCCTGAGGAGATCCATCCGGCAAACTCCTTGTCCTATTTTAAATCTCTCTAAAAAACACATTTTATAGGTGTGTTTTCTTACCATCCATTTAAATCATTTTACATTTTATTTCATCTAATTGTTATGACTTTTGTTCTGTATATGTGGTCTTTAAATTGTTTCTTGCTGTTTGCTTTTTAGTGTTTCCTATTGCCGGCCCTCAAAATGTCCTTTTTAACTTGTAAAGCACCTCGTAACTCTCTTTTGAAAGACGCCATATAAATAAAATGTTTCTTTTATAAGTAATATTACAATAACCCATGTTAGGTTTGATTCCTAAAAACTCATACACAACTTCGTCAGTAAACAATTTTTTCAGTGAAGGAAACTCTATGGTTTCAGGTTTCGGGATCAACAGTTTTCGTATTTCCGTGCTTTGCATGATCCTTGAAGGCAGCAAGTGATGTGGCGGCGACAGAGGCCCCATGACGTCAGAGCAGCTCTTCCTCTCCTCCAGGTTCAATGTGTTTCACTTTGTGCTCAAACTCTCACTTCACACGTCAGCGAGCTGTTGTCACCCTTTGTCTGGTTACTAACACAGCGAGGAGGAGGAGGAGGAGGAGGAGGAGGAGGAGGAGGACACAACGCCCCGATACGCAGGACGAGTTCAGATCATCGGGGTTTGGTTCAGGGAGAACTGGTCCTTCAACAAAGCTGCACAACTTTTATACAACGATAATTAATGAGTTGTGTCCTCTTGCTATTGTTAGTGCTGATGGTTGAGTCACTAAGTGTTATTAAATTATATTTAATGATCAAACAGTACTGTTTCCTTTCTGTACAAATGTTCATACGAATTGTGTCTTTACTTCTTTGGGTATTTTGTACTGTGTAATGTGGTAGTCACAAAAAATGATCGAGAATAAAATATCTTATTGTATAGTAGTGTTTTATATTATATTATATTATATTGCATGATAAACTATTACTTTACTTATGAACCTTTCTTTCCACTTATTATGTCAGATAACTTTTTACATTCACTAAATAATAAATGCTCCACATTATTTTATTGTTCTTAAAACAAGGACATTTTAAAGTGTAACATTTTATAAGTAAATTGCAACATCACCACAAATACATGAACAAAAATGAATAAAAAGAGTGATATTAACATAGAGGTGGCCAGGTTTAATGACCAAGTGGGAAGCTGTCCCAGAGTACAAGACCACCAGGGGCCTCCAGAGTCCCATAATATGAAAGCATCAATCTGAACTGACATTTAAACAGAAGTAAGGTGTTTTTTTTAATTACCTGAAATCCGGTATCTATCTGTCAAAACAATTAAGATCATCATTTTGGCTGGTTGTGTGTGTTTCTAAATGAATCAAGCTAACTCAGACTCATGTTACAGTGCAGTAATACTGCAAAAACTCCGATTTTTACTAAAGGTGCAGATTCACTGGGCCCATCTCCAGATTCATGTGGAAAAAGGTCACTAACTCACTTTCATCATCACACTGTTAACAAGATGATCGAGTGCCTTAAGTGTGAGACCAACCGCCTCAAGCTTTCATTCTTCCCAACGTCTATCACACTACTTACTAAGGAAACATGTTGATTCGGCCATGTATCTCAATAACCTTTGCACTATGGCACATTTTACATTTTGGTTTTAATGCCGGTGTTTGTTTTCCATCTTTATATCCTTTTAATGTTGCCATTTTAAAGTGCTTTTTCTGCAGTACTATTATTCTGGGTTTTACATGATAGGTCCTTGTGTACTGTTTGTTGCACTATATACTGTTCTGCAGCTGCTGCAGCATTTTGGCCCAAGAAAACTGTCCCTGTGGGCACAAAGAACTATATTTGATTTGACTGAAGTGGCCCCTGTCATCGTGTCACATTGGGCCTCAGCACTGCAGCAACACACACTGGTGGAGAACAGTCATTCTCATGATGATCCAGTCATACTGAGATCATATGATCACTGATTCATTCTGTTAGCCTTTAAAAAACCTGCACTGGGGACCTTGCACAATTATGACCGCGGATGACCTATCCGAGTTGCCGTAGTAATGCAAGACTGTGGCACTCCTCCTCAATGAACGTTGGAAAGATGGCGACGGCATACGCACCAGCGAGAGTCCGCTGTGCCGGCAGATAGAAAGTGCTCCAAAGAGACACTGATCCGCGTCTCTTGCAAACATTCACCGGTGCAAAGTGTGCGCGAAGCCGCCTGGACATGGTTTAGTCCATGCACGGCTAGGAACGAGGAGCCGCCGCTTTGCAATGGAGCCTCCGGATCGAAACAAGCCCAGCAGGTATGAGAATCCACCGAACACACACTCTACCATCAGGACCCCGCGCTTGCCAAATAGTGCGCCGAGCGTGACAGCGCTGTCGGCTCTGCGCATCCCTCGCAAATCCACTTCCTGCCAAATAGCGGCGCGCGTGCAGTTTCTGCATTTGCAACAGTGGAGTTGCAAACTTTTTTTTTTTGTGGAGCGACTCTTTCACACGCACCCCGCCGCAGACACGAGCGTCTCGCCCGCTCCTCGGCTTGCTCGATAGAAAAGGCGCAGAATGGCCGCCACATGATCAGGTAACACTGCGGACAACAACGAGCCGCCGGGGCAGTGCAGACATGTCAGGGGAGAACAAGCTAGCTAGCGTCTCCTGTTAGCCACCGCTTGTCAGTTTATTGTTCACCGACAAGTTCGCTACGAGACATTTACGGACCCCGGGGCGAGAGGAGCGTTGCATTGCGGGGTCGTGGGGTGGACTCGGAGGTGTGTTGTTGTGGGCTCGAGGTGGTCGGGTCATGCATTTCATCACTGGAGCGAGGCACAAACTTCGCTAACTCCAGCTAGCACGTCGCTCCTGTGTTATTGTTAATCCTCGAGCTGGAGTTGGCGCTGTTGTTGTCGCCTCCTGCTGAATCACGATCTGTGCCCAGTGTCTCTGCTCGGTTTGTTCGCACACTTTGCTGCGTGTTATGTGGATTTTAATCAGTCGGTTGGCATCTGTTGCAGACACATGTGCAGCAGCAGATCTTTCACTGTGTGTGTGTGTGCAGAGGCTGCTGGGGGGGGATTCATGTCTGCAGTCCCATGCACACAAAGAGACGCTCATTACATGTTTTCCTCTTCATGTGCACGTCTCCTCATAGAAATGCTGCATTGTTTGTCCCTCACCGCCGACGACAGACTCCCAGGAATCCTCTGTTATGCCCCCCCCCCCTCACATGCAGTTGTTTGTCTGCAGGGCGAGTGACTTCAGGGCATTTATCACGTTGGATCAGCTCTGTCATCTGCGATAATCCTCGTTCTGAACAAATATCTTTGCTTTCTTTCAACCCCTGTCTGCTCTTTTGACTAATGATTCTGGCACCAGCCGGTTGTTATTGCCTTGCACCCTTGAGGCCGCTCAGTCCGAGGTGCAGGCACACAAACACAAGCTCGCAGGATTGTGCAATGCTGGCCCTGGTAATGTAATTGCAGCACAGTAATGTTTGTCACATAAAGAAAAAACCCTGAGACATTAACCGTGCTGTTACTGGAAGCATGACGCTGGCACAAGTTGACATAGATTTTCATGTTTTCCGTTTCACTTTCTTGTTGAGTGTTTAGCCAAAGTTCAAGGTGAATGTGAAATCTGAAAAACTCAAATTTAAAACTTTATATAACTTCTATGGAAATAGAAAACACTGCAGACTTTGCAGGGTCAGCTCTGCACTCAAATCCAAACTTAGATTGAAATAACCGGCTTCAAACATGCATGAATTATCTTTTAGTTTTTCCTAACTGCAGTGTCGTTCCACCCACCTTGATGTGCATTTGCACCTGAACGCCAAATGTGAGCTTAGTTCAAACTATTTTGAGATAGAGGAGCTATGTGCTCACTGGGCAATCGAAGGCTATCGCTATCTCTTGCAAGCACAGAGGTCCTTTTGTCAACAGTGTCTCCTTTTCAAAGTCAGTCTGAAGACATTGTGGCTGATGAGCATTCCAGGGATTTCAGGATGTGGTGTGGGCTGTGCGCAGTG